TCCCCACTTTCGTAAAAGACTTTTCCTATCATAGTCAACTAAAACCCCAACTATTATATACCATTCGATAGAGAATTTCACGAGCTACAAAATGGTATATAAAACATAAAGAAACAAGAAGGTTGGCTCATCTATCACAAAGATAATTAAAGAGAACTAGGTTATATTTTTGTCCACGATCTAACTGATCCAGAAATAGAGCTCTATCTTCCGATCACAGTGATGATACTTCGAGGTTTTTTGAGATGGAGACCTCGAATCTGTATTCCACTTCCATCGAAATACTATTGGTTGAGCAGTGACCAATAGAAATCAAGTTATAGGAAAAACGACTTTCTTAGGGTAAATCAAGGGAAAGAGTCCAAATTTGAGCTGTATTCGGTCCCAAGTTCTATTGGTTTGGCAATACTCAATAGAAATCAACAGTTTAGAGGGTAGGTTCCCCAGTATAATTTTGATGTCCACACGTTCTAGAACGACTCATCTGTCTCATTCACTTTTTGAAGTACACATAACTCTCGGATTTAAATCCGAAGTTTCCGCATTTATTTTTAAGGGAAAATAACAAACCAAGATAAACAGAATTCTTTTCATAATTTGAAACAATTGTTCGCCAATCCTATGAATATTGCAAAATAAGAAATAGAAATAACGAACTTTTTTTAAATACTTTCATTCGTTATGATGAATACATGCCAAACATATTTTTACTTTCTTTTTCTGTTTCTTTTAATGTCTCAACAATTTTAAGACAACAAAAATAATCCAAATCTACGAAGAAAATAATTCATTAAAATAGAAGAAGAAAGAATCTTCGTACATGAAGAGCCAAGTAATCGTTTGATTTCATCATGTTCGAGCATATCTAGAAGAGCTTGTCGAACTTTAGCTCGAATAGCTACTGATTGTTCATTCCAATCTTTTGAACAATGTCGACGATCAACTAACCAATCTATCAAACAGATAAATTTATTAGTAAAAAAATATAATTAATCAACTAACCAACAAGTTTTGTAAGATGAATATCGATAGTACTATCATCAATAGTCATTATTATATCTTCAAATAAAAAAAAAGAAATCAATTACTTTTTTGTTAAATCTATGAGAATTTATAATTGAGGATATTTAATATATCATCCTATATTTTTATTGATGAATTAAAGGAATTTCAACGAAAAGAAAAGTAAAATAGAACATAAGCTTGAGCATATTTGGCAATAATTAATCGTTCTTGATATGTAACTAAATATTTCATATTCATTATTTAATAAAGCTACGAGAAAAAGAAGAGTAAATTTAAATTAAATTAAATCAAGAATATGAATTACTTAAAGTAATTTATTGTCATATTCTTGTTGTTGTAATGAAAATTTTTCTTCAATTTGTTTTAAAAGTAATTTTCAAACTTTTCCATAAGATTTTGTGAACCATGATCTGAAAGGAGTGTTGAAGTATATAGGGTAGAAATTTGCACTCACTCCCTTCACAGACCGTGACAGATGGTCACATGACCCATCACAGACTGTGACAGATGGTCATATGACCCATTACAGACCGTGATAGACGAATTAGCTAATTAATGTAATAATTAATTAATTAATGGATTAGATAATTAACTAATCTCTAGTTAATATTTCGTTAGTAAATCATTAATGACCCATCACAGACCATGACAGGTAGGCTCCAGATCCATCGCAAACTGTAACAGAGCTTTTGATACACGATTTACGATTATATATCATCAGAATCAGGGCTGGGCGAGTCCGAGTCATGACTCGGACTCGAAAATTGGATAAGGTTGACTTGACTGTTTGACTCGAGTCATTCATTTGCAAAAATTTCGATTTGCTCTTGTTAAAAAGAACCACAATTTATAAGATTAAATTGTCACTTTTTCAAAACTTTCGTCCTAATTGAATATATTGCATTCAATTTACTTCTTTCGGAGCTTTTCTAGACCTATGTTTTGATATGGTCGTCAATGTTCGCGCCCGCGTATTACTGAATATGTGTATTTATTCTCGGTTTCTTTTAGTTAGTCTTTGAAGGTGTGCACGTGTATGTAATCAAATGAATTAAAACTTTGCATCGCATTACACGTCACATTTTTTTTATCGTACTGTAGTATAATTATTGAGTGACAGTATTTTTGATCACGAATTGTTTCCGTCATTCATTTCACAGGATTTATTTCTAAACAAAGGGAATGGTGTATAATATTCTACTCATCCATATCCACCCCTCTGATTTCCGAGGAAGTACATTCATAACGATCTTTTCATAAGCTTGTTAAGAAAATAATGTACGTTTTTGCTGCATTCGAACCAGTTGAATGTGTTTTTCCAAAACGGTGTTTTAATGAGAACGAATCATTCAACTTCCACAGCAGCTAATATTTGTATGTTACCATTTTTAATTTGCAATAACACATCAATTTAATGATAATAAATAAATTTTACTTGTAAACAGATTTTTGTTTAGGCTTTTGTTTATAAAAAAGCGATATTTTTTACTGTAATGTGGAACTGCATAAAAAAAAGAATTGATTTTACTTCTATTATTTTGTTGATTAATCTAGAGTAGTTGCACCATTTTATTTTATATGTCACTTCTTATTTTCGTTTTCGTACATAAAAACTAGGAAATACATATCGTGTAATGAAAAGTCTATAGTTGCCGTTCTTTATCAAGAAAAACAGACAACGAAAAAATAGTAAAAATAATTTGACTCAACTCGACTCGACTCGAGAAATCGTTTGACTCGCCCAGCCCTAATCAGAATATATCAACTGCTTCCTAGTTGCAATTCTAGAGGATTAAGTAAAAAATGATGAATAAATGGGTCATAAGGTATATCGAAGA